GATGAGTCATGGAAATCAGAACAAAATTGATGTGCTATTCAGGTTAGTTCTACCTGGAATGGAGTGGAAGCTGTCTCTCTTTTTACAGGACTTGGAAGCACAGTTGTGCCTAATATTTGTCTCAGAAGTCCCATTTATGAGTAATTCCTTTTTACTGATCAGGCAGTCTGGCATGTACAAGCACTTGGTGTCTATCCACCCACACTTTGTCCTTTCTGTCTTCATCTGAAATATTCCACTCTGGGGCTCAGTAATACAAATTTGATGAACAAATGATATGCTGCAAGAGGGAAAATATGAAGTAAATGAGTTGGTTGCTGCTGCTATCCAAGTGCCTGAGCTCTTAGAACAACTCATAAAACCAGAGATTTTCAGTTTTCTTTTAATGTTTCCCAGTTCTTTATGTTAAACTATATGAAGTTTTACCCGAAGTATTGGTGTGTTAAAACTCTTTTATTCCATTGAAGGAGAAAAATGGGAAGGTATTACCAGTATATTATTAAAAATACAAACACACCTGGATTTTTCTAGAACTCTTCAATGTTCACCATGTACGCAGTGCTGCTAATCATAACATAGGTTTGTACATTTTTTGAAGGCTTAAAATATACATTTTAATTTCCTGACGATTACAAAAGCCTGAAAGACCCTATGGCATTAGATAGGCTCTGAGTGTGAACTGAGGTTTCTCTCTGTCTCAGGTGCATGTCTTTAGGTAGGATGCAGTGACCTAGAGCACCAATCAGGATAAAATGTGCTTGTTGTTATTAATAGCAATAATTACATCATTGTTATGCCATCTAGCTTGGGTCTACAAAGATGACTTCTGTAATTTTCAGTGACATAAAAATCACTTTTTCTGCTCTATGATCCTTTTCCAGTCAGTTTCCTGGTGCTGCATATACAGAAGCTTGAGGGTTTTTATGGCAGGAGAAGGAAGTTTATCCTTCAAGTTCAGGATAGGCTTTGCTGTGTGTTGGGTTCCAGTGGTGAAAACTGACCTTTTTTGAGCTTAGTAGTTTACTGGAGTCTTTAGTGAGTTTAGAAATGGAAATGGGAGATAGAAGGGAGGTCTGAGGTGACCAAGGGAGGCATGTTTTGGTACAATGAAAAATTCAAAGTATGCCAGCTCCATGACTACGTAAGAATGAGATGGGTGTGAAGAAATTCAGTGGGGAGCAGGTTACTTCAATCAAAATGGAAAATGGGCCTAGTTTAGAGGAGATGTCAGAGAGAGAGAGATGAGCTAATTTATGATATGAGTTACAAAGAGAATCATGCATTTTTGTTATTGAATACAGTTTCCCAAATGATTCCTAACCTCCCATCTTCTTATCTCCCTTCTTATCTCTTCTCAAGCAATGCTGCTTGCTTAGCTGTTTTCTTAGACCTCTTTCTTTCAGGATATTCCAGTATTCCCTAACTCTGTTAATGCCTTTTGAGTGAATTAGGATTGGCACTCTAAGGCACTGGAAAACCCAGTTGGAAAAAAAAAATCTTGATTTCTTGATAATGGAATACTTTTTTCTGGAGAATAAATGAGGTCAAAAGAAATTTTCCATGGGAGGTTAAAATCCTGTGTTCAATATACCTGTACAGTCCTGGTGATTGCAGCTGCTTTTCACACAGTGTTCTGAAAGGAGAATTTGTCCCTGCAATTTTGAAGATGAGAGGAGTAGAATTAAGACTTTGCCTAATTAGTGCTACCTTTCAAAGGTCTATTTTAAGCTGTCTTCCTTCAGCCTGAACCATGTGGTAGTTTCCAAAAATGTAATTTAATCATATCTGATTGCTTGCTGGAATCTGCAATTAACTTAGGTGCAAGAGAATTAACAGTATTTGCCAGGTGCTTCATAATTTACTGGGAGCTGCCTGTGCCACATATATGTTAAGTGTGTTGTTGGCTGTTTAAATTTATTGGTTGGAATATTTTAAGCTTGTGATTGAGTAATTTTTATTGCTTCCTTCCATTTCTATTCCTAGGATGACTCAGATATCAAATACCATGTAATTATATTCTGTATACTATCAAACTATCCTTTGCAATTATGCCACATTGTAGTTATTCTTTTGAAATATTAGGAGCTACCTATCTAGGAAGTTATTTTTGGGACGCAATTGGTTGCTAGGGTAAAGATTTCAAGTAATTCTAGACATATCTTGAATACAAAAACCCTTAAACTCATTTTTAAAACATAGTTCTCAGCTTAGAAATCCTCTGAAATCCAATTCCATTAAAAAGTGTCGAAGTGGTTTTAGAAAATAAATTTTTCTCTAGGGACTACATTTGTCTCCTGTTTGAGAGTCAGTTCTTGCATCAGTTGTATAATTAAAAATGGGAAGAGAATGGAAAAATTGGCTATCTGCCAGCAGGGAAATAATTTACTATTTATTTGGAGTGCATTTCTGAGATCCGGATTAGTACTCTAATCTCTCTCTGAAGCTCTCTTGCATTACAGTTTTCAGAATTGCAGGACAATCTCAGGAGACATAGGCTTTGTACTTCTAGATTTAGTTCTACAGTTTCATGAAGGTTGAATTTTGGACAAAAGTAAACCACAGCTTAGTTCTTGGTTCTGAAATAATGATTGTTACAAGTTTTCATACCTCACTATCTGGAAGAGGGGTTTCTGCTCTTTGACATCTCTCTTTATCAGTCTTGGAAAGGTGCCACCCATTAGTGTCTGAAATTCCCTGGAAAATTACTGTGAAAAGAATGGTGAAGACAAGTCAGTCTTGGAAAGGTGCCACCCCACCCATTAGTGTCTGAAATTCCCTGGAAAATTACTGTGAAAAGAATTGTGAAGACAAATATTTTAACTGGAATACTTGCTTAAATATAGCAGCAACTCTGAGATTAAAATGTTTATCTGTACTCTTGTGGCCAGGGGGTTATCAGAAACTGTGGCTTCAGACCATCACTGAGATGGAAGATATCACAATAAGCCCAGCATGAAAGAGAAAATCACTCTTGCCCAGTGATTTCATCAGGCACTTAAGATGATGATGATGCAATTTTTGTCTTCCCAGCACAAAGCAGCAAGGGTGTGCCAGAAGCAAAACCTCATGGGGATCTGCAGCGAGTTCTGCACGTCTCCTTTTACCTGTTATTTACATTGAAACCAGGAATAAAATTGCTCAGTCCATTTACAGCTCTTTTTTACTGCTTATAGAACTTGGGAATACTGTCTTTCACTGAAAAGACTGTGCAGATCTTACATTTCCCAAGGAATAATGCATTCCCATAAAGCTGTCACAGATTCTGAAAAAGCAAAAGATAAGGAGAAAACAGCACAAACCAAACAGATTTGACAGTTTATCACTGTCTGAACGAATTGCAATTGATGTAACCATATCAGAGACTTGCAGGTGTTTAGATTTTAAGATGACATTTGAGACTGGAAAAGTACCATTTGCAGCAACAGCCTTGATAAATATAATCCTGTCTGAAGCTCTGTGTGCCCCCCATACCGATGGGACTTTAGAAGACGAGAAAAGGTTCATTTATAACCACATACAAGGAAGTCAACAAAAGTTACTGAAAGCTTTTTTGAGACTGTGAGCTGCCAGAACCAGCTAACTCCTCTAGCCAAAGTAGATTGCCAAGTGATTTGCACAAAGTGTGTGTGAAGCTCCAGAAAGATCAATCCAAAGACTTGCGTCTAAGTCTTTTGGGTTTGGGTTTTTTTCTTTTCTGGTAAAATCTGCACACTTAAGGGAGCAATTGTCTATGGAAACTAGCTTCCTCTCCAGTTTACAGTCTGGAAAAGTCTGATCCTGACTGCTGAAGTGACCCCAAAGACTAGAGAACACGATATTGTACAGCACTTCCTTGTGTATATACCTGGTTTTAGACATTTGGCAGGCTCCTGTTCTGCTTATGGAGAAGCAAGAGGAACAGTGATTCCTACATTTGCCCTTGAGCTTTCTTCCCATTCTGCTACTTTCTACCTGGTTTTGCCTTTCCCTTTAACTTTCTCTGTTCTCTCCTATTTTCCTTCCCTCAAACCTTTATATAATTAATTATATGTTGTTTTCTTTCTTTTTCTTTTCAGCACTTTATGTGATTCTCATTATTATTGCTAAGTCACTAAAAAGGGCTTCTTTCCTGTCTTGCAGAGTCAGACTGTTTGGAGAGGTTGTCTGTGATGAGTGATTTCCAGCAGCACTGATGTGATGGAGTCATGGAACGATCAAGGAAGGTTAACTGCCCAAAGGTAATTAAAAACCTCTGTGTTATTTTATTACTATGAAAGCCAAGTTCCTGCCAAGGATTGTCTTGTTAAGAAGATGCCAAGTCTCAAGGAGGTGGTTCAGTAGTACAAGTCATGCATTAGTAGACTGCTGGGCAGAATGTAATGGATCCTGAAAACAGACAATAGGCAATGCCTTTCTTGAAATAGAACTGGAAGGGAGTGATTCTTTGTGCATGTAAAATACTAGAGAAATTATATTGCAATGATTGTTCAATAAATCTTTTTAGATTTGAAGATTCTAAACTGATGTTTATACATAGGAAAAACTTGCTTCAGGCAGTTTCCAGAGACTCCTCTAAGCTACTAAAAAAAAAGTTAGTTTTCCAAAAGAAGCAAATACCACTCAGTCTATGAGAAAAAATTATATGCTATGCACAGTAAGAATGGAGTAAGTTAGGGGTTTTTTTCTGGATCGTTTTTGCTGTGTTTTTTAATGCTTTTGTTAAGACTTTGAATTCAGCTGGGTTTGCAGAAGTGCTGGTGCAGAGCTCTGCCTGACGTTTTGCTCAATAAGGGATGAGCCGGCACTGCCTCAACTCTGCGGGTGGTAGAATATACCAGGAAATATACATTTCACTGAGAACCTGGAACTCAGGCTTTCATGTGAACTATCACAAATATGGGTCAAGTACCTTGGGGTGCTGATACAGGGTTTTCAGTGTGTTTCTGGAAACTCGTTGCCATTTATTTCTTGAGCTGAGTCTGAGGAGCCTTATCACCACCCTTTAATCTTCTTGCAGGTTTTCAGAAAAGCTCTTAATATACTGCTTCATGTTAGAAGCTGTCAGCACCATTGGCAAGCACTAAAGATGAACATGAAGGAGTTGTACTTTTCTGGATGTGATTAATTCTGGCACAGTACTTGTTCCCATGGCTGAGCCCTGTGTGCACTGCTGTTCATGTCAGGTTTGTTATGTGTGTTTTCTCTTTCCAAGGTATTATGTCTTCACTGTGAAACATTCACTCAGACTCAGATTTGGCAGACAGAGTCTGAATCTAGCAGCATGCTGGTTTCCAGGAAAAAATAATTTGTTCCTTTGGAGGGAGGGAAGAGATTTGGATTTTAAAATGCTTCATTGTATTTTATAACACAGAACTTGATTTACATTTCTGTACATAATATTTCTTGAGCAGTTGCTTAGGAGCGACCTTGATGATTGCTGAGTAAATTATAACATACTATGTGAAATTTCAAGTTCTGTTCCTAAATGTTAAATTCTAAAAAAGTAATAATAGCTCAGAAGTTAAGATACTCTTAACATGACTGTTTACAAAATGGTTTGTTGGGTTTTTTTTCCCTCCAGTTTAGAGTAGTATTTAATGAGTGGATTTTTAAAGTATATTTTCCCCTCTAAGAAGTCTTGAAATTTTAACGTGGCTAAGGAAACTAAGTAGAGACACAGGTATTGTGTGTAATCTCACAGGTCGTCTGAGAGAGGCTTAAGAGGAAACAGAAGTGGTTTAAAGATCTTCTAAATTAGACACTATTTATAGAGATAGAAATTCCTATATGGTGTTGAACTGAAGGTTCACCTAGTTCACTCTTCTGTTTCTAACACAGGCTACGTAGAAAAAAAAATCAAAGAATCTTACATGATTTTATTTCTTATCTCAATTTGCTAAGAAACACAGAGCTTGTTATGAGTTTGACACAAATATGAAGAGGCATTAGTATTCAATACCTGTGCTAACAATCTCCTGTCAGATTTTCTTATGGTTCATAAAGTGAAGAACATAAATAGCTGTTAAATATCAATAGGTTTTATTGCTGGGACCAAAAAAGACACAAACCTGATTGACTGATCAGTGATAACTCTTGAGGTGTTTATATTTGCATTGCAACATAATCAAGTAATTTAAAGACAGTTGTCTTTCAGCTTCTGTAATGCCTTAAGATAAAGGCATGCTTTTCTGCAAAACCAAAATCCATCATGGCCAGGGCAGATTGGTGGTAAAATGAGGCCAGTTTAGTAATGAACTTGAAGGCTATAGGGATGTTTCTCATCAGTGTCTACCCATGGCTTCAATACACTGATCCATACTTCTTTTTATTTTGGCTATAATTTATTTTACTTGACATAATGCTGATATTCTGGGAAATTTTGCCTTTATGAAGAACCTTTGAATTATAATAATGAATAGTTAACTGTGGGCTTTTGGCAGTTTAAGAAATAAAATATTCCTCCTCAAAAGCACATTTACATTAGGACTTCATATTTTGTTGATTCCAGCAAACTTTTGATTTTAACACAGATGAATGATACCAAGTGCATGGTCCAGGAGTCTGAAATTGTGCTTACTCCTAGATTAGATCAGGAAGAAATTGGAGCAGTAATGCTCTCTCATTTCATTCTTGTCATAAGAATTAGGACCTGGGAACAACTGTCTATTTTTGTCAGCAATATTTGCTGTTCTGAACCTGCCACCTCAGATGCCTGTTGTATGGTGAATGATTACCACTGTTAGGCCTGAGGTGAAACCAGCTTCACAGAAAATAGATTGATGAGCACATTTTTATAATAGAATCATTTTGAAATGAAAGTAATTCTTCTGTTTCTTGAATTACAATTTTATCTACTGGCAAATAAGAAATTGCATATTGCAGTAGCTCTTATTCCAATCAAATCTGTGTAAATTGGGATGCAGACTTCAAGCCAACAGGACTGGGGTTTTAACACCATTATTAGGTTATTATATTTATGGGTATGATGAGTTTCTGGACTGTGTTATTCCAGTTGAATACAATCTTCTGAAAGTTAAGGGTCTGAGTGTGAGTTGCTTGAAGCCACTGGAATGTGGCTTTCAGCCAATGTATTTGTAATATAGTTACTTGTTAAGAGAAAATACTATTGTACATTTTAATCTTCTATACTGCCAGTACTGAAGGAAGCCTCCCTCATCTTTTTGCTCAGTGAGATAATGTGGCTGATAACCTTTGTATAGTTCAGGGACTTACTTCATTGCTTTCTAATAGAGTTTCTGGAGAGTATAGATTTAGATTACAATGTCGAATGGCCATAGGGCCTCAGGGAAATATGCTCTCATTAATGGACTTGTTAATGATTGCCATCGGAGGGGCTCTAATAGTATCAGATGTAAATGTTGTCAGAGCCGTCCATCTTTATCACGCAGATATGGAGATGCATCATTAATTCACACAGAGATTCTCAGATCCTCAGAGCTGTGCACATTGATGCAGGATGGTAATGTCTGAAGGAAATTAAAAGCCGTCCGTTATCAATTTAATATTTCAGATTTCTGTTTCCAATTAATATGGTCTAAGAGATACGAGGAAGTGAACCACAGCAGAGCTATGGGTCATTCAGAAGAGATCAAATGCAGATTCTGCTTCTGTCCAGCTTCATTATGCTCATTGCATTCTGTCTGAAAGGGATGAGACAATGCAAACTTATATCAATGAAGTCTCACAGCTGAAAAGTTAAAAACATATATCCTATTTAAGCACAAAATTATGCCAATATAAAATAGTTTACAGAATCTAGAAAAAAATTTAAAACAATTTTTCACCTTTTTTTGTGTTATTAAAGTACAATAGTGTCTTTTTCCTTTATCATGACTTTGGATATGTTCATAATGCATTGAGTGCAACAAATTAGTCTCAAATTTGTAGCTTTAGACCTGTTTGATAATTATTTGTTGAAATGTGAGAATTTGATTACGAATATTTGGTTTGGAGTTTTGGGATGGACTCAGGCTTTTTCTGGTAAACACACCAGACTATCACTTTGTCACCTTCTGAAATATTAGTATTTTCAGAAAAAATAAGAAATGCAATTCTTTCTGTATGCAAATGTAAAGGTAGGCTTTTAAAAACTGCAGCAGATTTATAACTCTATTGTCACTTGTTTTGGAAATAGTGTCTGGGTGCTAAGATAGAATCAAAAATTAGCTTTTCAATGGTGGGTTCTGATATCACTGTGTCCTACTGGATGGGTCCCCTGAGTGCAAGGGAGAGGGGACTGAAAAAGCAGATTTTACAAATGGAGGTGGTGGTGATAAGTCCTCCTAAAAGGAGGACAAAGTATGAGTAGATAAGTGTCACTTGTGCTGAACTGTGACTAGTTGTGGATGAAAGAAGTCAATTCCAAACTTGCCAAGGACAAATGGAAAAGGTGTAAAAGTATTTGCTCCTGGAAGGCAAATGGGATATCCCTAACGAGAGATAAACCAAGTGAACAAAGGATGGAGCCATAATTTTAGATCAGTGAAGAATCAAACAAACAGTGAATGAAGCATGTACATCAGGCTGGGGAGTAGCTCTGACAGGGGCACGTGGAATAGGGAAAACATGAACAGCACACGACTGGAACTGGGAGGTCCAGAGATTCTCTTGAGTCTGCCTAATGAAGTTTCCATGTGGGGGAAAATTTTAACTTTTTTTTTGCACCTGTCTCTGAAGCATAAATCAGCTACAGCATTAATCTGCTGCAAACTATGAAACTGTGAGTTTCATAGGAATTTATGGAAAGGTCCATGTCTGGAGGATGCCATCTATAGCCAACTGCCATGTTGTGTTATGGCTACAGATGAAAGATTGTGGAAAGTAAGGTCTTGCAGGGCTGGAAAAGATGTAAAACTGAGTATTGACCAAGGCAATTTACATCAGACACTCTTCTTTTATCCAGGACAGCAGTAAGGGAAGTCATCTGTGAAATCAGATCTTAATGCAGCTGTGGTAGAGAATTCCCACTCAGTGCTCCCAGCAGTCAGGGTGGAGACTCCTTGGCTGGTCTGTCCTGGCTGGGGTCAGGCAGGGCCAGGGTCAGGTGCCACAGTTCCACTGCTTGCTGCTGACACAGGGAGCAAGCACAAGCTAAAACACAAAGCTCTTAAGTAAGGCTTCAGTACTTTCAGCTTCATGAGAGGAAGAAACCCTGTAAAAAGCTTTATTTCTAGCATTTCCTGCCCACACTGATGCTCACTTGAGTCTCACATAGCCTTTAAATTATTGATAAATCTATGAAATGAAGTATTCTAATTATTTTTCTCCAATGAACATGTGCAAACATCTGCTATTGGTCCAGTACTGCTATAAAATGTAATTTGATTAAATTGCTGCTATGAGTCAAGAGAAATCAGTGCACTTTTTCCAAAATCTTACATATTCCTCTGTTACAGTACACTTTGCTCATTTTTGCATCCCCAGACTAAAAAAATAATGCTCACTTGGTTCTTCTCAGCTGTTTGGGCATTGTCTTTGATAGGGGGCTGCCAAGCCTTGCAATGTGGAGTGTGTATTGTAAGGTCTGTAACAATTACCCCGCTTGCTGTGAAATTTTGGAGGAGTTAAACATCAGCATTATTTGTGCCATTTTACTTCAAAGGATTTCTCTCTTATCCAGACTCATTTGTTGTGGGTTTCGTATTGCAGCCAGTGCAAAATACAAAATTCGCCACCTATTCATCCCAGTCTCTTTGTCACATTTGTCACCTGCTTTTAATTTCCTCCTAGGAAATCCCTTCCTATCCCCGTTGTATGGTTCTAATTTTAATAATCCCACACCTTCCAGAGCTCTTTCCCCAAAGAAATATTTCACTGTACACACCACTTAGTGTGTTGATATTTCTTGTTAGTATGCAGCGTTGTGTTAGCTCCTCTAGATAACCTTGATAAATTAAAAATTGGCTTATCAATATTCAATCAACCTAGCTCATTTTTCCAAATGTCTGATTTCCTTTCTGTCAGAGCTGAGCTAAAAAGGCACTGCAAAAATAAATGGAATTAAAATTGCATATTTTTCTTTGAAGCAGAAATTAAAAATAAATCTTCTGCTAATGCCACCTTAAATGTATTGGTTTATCAACAGTGAAATAACATACAGTGACAGATATGACATAAAAAATCATTGGTTTTCAGTAGAGAGTTGTTCTTTGAATGCAATTAA